AAAAAAAAAAAAGGGAAAGAAGTCACTCCCAGCACCTACAAATATACATATGCAGACAAGGATTATCGACCGATGGCAATGTTGCAAATGTGGAGAACCAAAGCACGCGAGAAATTCAAAGGTAGAGCGTGATACATGCACCTTTTTATGTCCTTGAAGTAGTTCGCACAAATCTTAGACGAGCCAGGTAATTGCTCTCAGCAAAATCATGTAATGTCCGAAAAGATCGTGCCCCCTCGAGGTCATTTATGCCGGACTCATCCTTCAGAAGCCTTCGGCATTCATTGCCATCCTACACCGAGTACTCAACTTTAGTTGATATAAATTCATCAAAAGAAACAGTATGCAGTGACATGGAACCAAAAAAATTATCATCATGACAGCAACATCATCGATACAACTGTTCATAGGTTGTTCATGCTTTGCCTAGTTCATAATTACACAAATTTCTGGGTACTTCATGATTATGGCTATGGTATATAGCAAGTAAATTATATCATTACACATAAAACAGCTAAAACTATAATAGTCGTCACCAAGTAGCTTCAGATTTACATTGTTCATATTGCTTTTGAATATTAGCTGAAACTAAAACTAGTTCCGGAAAAATCCTCAAAGGCAAATATGCATTCAGTACAATATCAGTGTTGGCCTACCTGTAAAAATTTCATCATCTGCTCTTCAATTGTGCCACTCATTGCTAAAGTTTCCACATGAATAGGACGCGAAGCGCCCATTCGATGAGCACGACTAATAACCTGCTCCTCCATGCTAATGAATTTAAGAAAACAACAAATCCAGTCAATAGAGATAGAATGCGTGAAGAGTGTCAGAACATAGTTAAAACTTAAACAAGAAGCCATCGAGTGATAGTTGGCAAAATGGTCAAGGATGCAAAAATTACAAAAAAAGCAAGGAGATGCTGTTATTATACTAAAAGAGCCACCTCAACCAGACTTGAAGATATTAAAGAATCGATCATGTTTTTAGTTCTACAAGTGAAGACATTAAAATGCCATCAAATACCTTTTATCCCATATAGGTTCCATCAGATAGACATGAGTCACAAAGCTTAAATCAAGACCTAGAGCTGCACTTCCATCCATCAACAGAACCATACAATTTGCATCATGCTGGAAAGTCGTTAATGATTTCATCTGAATCCCATAAGAGCAAATTAGCAACTATTCACGGAATAACATACAAAGAAAAAAAAAAAAAAACAAGTAAATGAGTACATACCTTAATGTTAGTGAGCATTGGGCTGTACATTCCAACAAATTGAATTCCTGCAATGCTTAACTGGGATGATGTTGAAGATAATTAACTGATTAGTTGAATGTCTACTAAACCAGAGGAAACATGAAGAAAATGAACCCTTACATCGAAAAGACAAAACCATGAAAACCGATGATTATGTTGAGTTCATAAGTTACCTGTTGTTCAATGATGTGTATATGCTCCAGAAACTGGGAAAAAACAATGACTTTCTCCAGAGGAATAGGGCTCTGTTCATCTCCTAACATAAGGCCAGCCTCCTTCTCTACTGGTATGCTACTGTCAGAGGAAAAATTCAACTCGCTAGACATAGCCTCACTATCGTCAATGGGGTACCCAATATTCCTCCTATTAGTTTCTTGCAATTCCTTTAACTGCTCAACTAAATATGTAACTTTGCTGCTCGATGTTGACTGCCAATCAGGATTCCAGTCATCCTGCATCAAACAGAGGCATCTTTAGAAAATAAGAAAATTAAGGACATAAACAGAGATATGAAATAAAATGGTCAGGTTAGCCGCCAATGGTACTACTACTTGTCATGCATTGCAACATAAAGTGAAAGTTCTTTAGACACATCTAAAAAAGCTGTCTGGTATACAAGTAAATTATTTTGCATAATTTTCTTGGTACACTGTTATGGCAGACGGCGGAAAGTAGTGGCAGGCTGAAATCCAACCACAGCGGAAGCCACTGTGCCCCCCGCCATGGCGGCCTATCGTGCACCGCCACAACACCTTTCTTCACAAATTTATAATGGCGGTTAAGCATAAATCTGCCACGCCATAGTGCCATGGTGGAAATTTGATAACACTAGGTACAGATGTCTCCACTATATTTGAAATACTGAATCTGGCCACCTAGCCGCGGAGCCTGCCTAGGCGCCTGACCAATTTTTTCAGCCGATTCATGCAAATCGGAAGTGGCCAGGTGGCGCCCAGCGCCTAGGCAGCCGCCTAGGCCGATTTTCAGTACAGCGGTTCCACCTTAGCTGCATGGACGAAGAGTAAAAAAAGAGCCAACTTCAATGTACCTGTTTATATGAAGGTTGTAGCTCAATGAGATCCTTTGGCACTGGCCACTTGGGACTAGGATTCTCTGGACGCGCTAATTCTTGCGGACTCTGCATTTCATATGTGCTACCACAACCAGGAAACGGGCACCTTTCACTATCTAAAGCAACACAAACAAGGCATAAAAGGTGCCTACAAGGTGTAATGACGGGTAAACGGCACCATTCATTGCACCTGACAATATAAACACAAGCAAAATCATTACGGACAGTCCATCACTAAGCTAAATGAATTCAAGAAGGCTGAAGGCGTGAAAATTGAAATAGAGAAGGCCATTACCTCATGCAGTTGCCACCATATGAGAGATTGTACTTTATCAGACCGTATTCCTGGGACATAGGATCAAGACCATTTTCTACTAGTATATCCATAGTTTCTTGGATATCTTGGCCAGCATCCACTACTCTGACGTGTCCAGCCACGCAGCAGGATAACCTTACATTTTTTATTGTTGTAGCCCGAAATTTCCACTGTTTTGGGTTCAATAGACTCTCAACATGAGATGGATCATTCCAGTCCGCCATTAAAATATTACGCCGAACTGTTTCTACCAATTCATTATAACTTTTTGCATGCTCTTCAGAGAAATCCACAAAAGTTACTTTTTTTATGCAAGGTGGGATTGCTTTTAGATCTTTCTTCCTTGCACTAATCATGCACCTGTGATAGAGTGAATGGTTAACACAAATAGTCTAGTGTTTACATATAGAAATAAATACTATTTATGCAGCAAATAAAAAACAGAACACGAGGTTATAATGAACTTTGTGGGCATAAATTCCGCAAATTTATCTTAGATATAGAAATCAACAAAAAAGTATCACTATATCTAGATTAGCAACCTGTTAAGCAACTGCAGCAAACGAGACCTGCCCTCCTCCATTTCTGCCTCAAATGGCCTGATGATACCTGCTTCCCAAGATTTATGATGCTGCCCATATGTCTCTTCCTTGAGAAACTTCAGCATTGGTTGGAGATAAGACAACTGACTGTTAGGAGTGTTGGGAGTTGGAGTACCCGTCAACAACCAGCGACTTGTGGCAGTCAACGACAACGCCATTTGTAATTTGTTGGTCAAATTGAGACTTGAGCCAAGAGTGTGCCCCTCGTCCAACATGACTCTAAGCCAGTGAACCTGCATTAGGACACTTTTTTTACGGGGACTCCACTCAGCACTCAATCGACTGAAGGTAGTAATTACGACATCGTAATCCCAAGCCAAATTGTGGACAGAAGGTTTCTTCTTTTGATCACCCCATGTATAGACTCTCAACTGACCTGGGCTGACATGCCTTTCAATCTGAGTTTTCCAATGCTCAACCAGATTCGAGGGAACAATAATCAAAGTTGCACTTGACAGATACAACCTAACCGAGTCTAATGGCTCGCAGAGAGCAATTCGGAGGGAATCCAAATCAAAATAAAGGTTCCTAAGACCTTTTGGATAGAACCACCTCAACGCACCCGTTTCAACTCTTTTTACAAGGCCAAATGCTCGGAATACTTTGTGATAATCGCGAGCAACCCTAGTATCAAACAGAGACGTGCCCACAGTTGGGCTCACCAACCCAGTTGTTTCCATTTCAGCAAGTTTATCTGATGAAAGTTTAGCTAACCAAGTCAAGGCTTTTCTTGTCTCCGAGTTGATCAAGGTGTGGTGTTCCTTTAACACACCAGTAAAAAAGGATATATTTTCTTCCACGGCACCAGAGGATCCTTTGGTACGAAATCCAGGTAGGTATGTAATAGATCCTTTAAAATCCCAGGATTCTTCAGGAACATCACAACTTTGGTATGATGGATCTCTATTCATGCTACAAAACCACACTGTGGAAGCATTGGCGACAACTCCATTTGCTAGCTTCCGCCACTTGCTACAAGCATCACACTGAACCCAAGTTTCATTACACTCTGCATCATACGCCATCTCCTTATCTGATTTTCTAGTGAATGATATAGCACGGGATGAAGCAACTTTGTTGCCCAAAGATCTCTGTTTTCGGCCCTTATCAGCTAGCTTCCTTTTTTTAGAGCATTTCTCAGAAGTGAAAGGCGGCTCCTCATACGCATCCAAAAGATTTTTTCTAGCACTAGCCCAGCCCCTACTGGAACGCACAACAGCGGATTCCAGCTTTTGCTCCGTGCAACCAAGAAGCCTGGAGGAATTTGAAACAGCGCCACTGCATATCATGTCTGGGGTAAGTTCATCTAAAGATAATCTTCCCCTGCGAGCTTTCTTCACCACAGGTGTGTCAATATTTGAAAAACTGGTCCTGGTTATATTGACCGCACTGACTTCATAATATCCACACCTACGATTCCCATCATGCATGCACCAGATCACCTGTACTGTATCTGGGGGTTCTGCCATAGTTCCTTGCGTCTTCAGAACAAGTGATAGGGCAGTAATAGTCTTCCCTAATCCAGGTTCATCACAGAACATTCCCCCACGAAAGTCCCTAACCGTACAAGCTACACCGGGGGCAATTTCACCAGAAACCATATTCATATTGAATTCAAACCCATCAGCGGTTATGAAATCCATATACAGAGGATGTCTCATGACTTCAGGATCCCTTTCACGCTGTAACATCCACACAACTGCAGCCAGCTGATGAGGATACAACTTAAGTTTCATACATGGCATGATTGCTGTTTGCAAGTACCTTAGATGATGGCATGTTAGAGAAATCTTAAGAAGGTCGACCGGGCATAGCATATTCAAAATATTAATCAAAAGATCATCTGAAAGCACCCAGATACCAGACTTGTCGGATGCTTCTGCTGGTTTTACTCCTGTTCCTCCATCACAATCTACCTTCTTTGTCACACAGGGTAAACTCTCAAAGATTTCCTGGAGTTCAAAAAGCTTTTTTTTCTTGGAATTGTCGGGCACACTACAATGCAGCATACAGCCAAGCACATGACAGTCTGGCACATTCCAAATGCCACCACTATCCACACTTTGAGATGTAAGCATCAAGCTTCTAGCTTCCCAGTCACAGCTGCGAACATCATCTAAACCACATCAACATCAACTGAAAGATCATTTATTTATCAAAAAGACAAAAAAAAA